GGAGGTTAACTATCGACGCTGTATTACATATAAAAACGATTGCCGAAGACACCCGATGGAAAAACGGCAAGAAAATGTACTGTGTTGTGGTTAATAGGGACCTAAAAATGCTTTTAGCTCGGCGAGAGCTGCAGTTGCTCGAAGCTCCACGTGTGCCACTATATCTGGTGCGCATAAAGACCTACCTATACGATAGTTTAGTGGCCTTGTCACGCGACTTGGCCTAAATTTCGGTAGAGCATCTGCCAATTTGTACCGACATGCTGTGCCGCATGACAATAAAAAAAGAAATTTAAAAAAAGAAAAGTGCAAATAAAAAAGCATTTGAACCTGAAATCGAGTAAAAAACACACACTTTTCACAATGTGTAATTCCGTTTCCGAAGTCTGTTGTCCGTACTCTACGCCGCTCGTGGGTACCTTCCTAGTCCGCCAGTATCTGCTCCCAGTTTCCCTACCTCCTTGCGCACACCCCACCATACTCCGTCTCAACGGTATCTACCGACTGCTTATTTAAGCGTCATTCTTTGTACTTTCTAGTAAAAGAAAATAATAACATAAAAAATTTTAAAATCCTTTTTTTCTTTTTAAATCCTTTGTTTCTTTTTTTTTCTTTATATTATAAGGAAAACATATATATATATAAAAAAAAAAAAAAAATAAAATTAAACGAGAAAAATTGAAGCTAAACTCACATTATAGTTGCTAAGTGTTGAAATTACGTACCGATATAACAATTATTTAAAAACGACGATTCTTATTTCGGTTTCTTCACAAGTCTACATTTTATATAAATATTTTAGGACTTTTTTTTTTAATATATTTTTTTAGTTAATACAATTTTGTTTGGAGATTTTCTATCTATCTATACGTACATATCCCTTTATATATTCTAGTTCATGATGTTTCTCTTAGCATTTATATTTTCTTCTTTCCTTTATTCTTGGGTTGGTTTAATTGTGAGGATGGATAGTGCTTGCCTATAGCTGTTGCTCTGCTTAAAGCGCTCCCTCTTTATTTTGTTTGTCTTTTTCTTTCACGTTACAAAAACTGTTTTTGCGTTTTGAATTTAGTTTCGCTGACTTTCAATAAGGTTTCCAGTTTAAATAAATTTTTAAGTGTAAAATAAATGTGCAACTGTTGTTCTCAATTTAAGCGGCACTTTCTTAAGAGTATTTCTAGCCAATGTTTGGAATAATTTTACTTTCAGAACTATGCCCATCCAAATAGGTTTCCATGGCCTCATTGTAAGAAGGATTTTGTGTAAATTTTTGATCGAGAAATTTCTTTCAGTTGTCTTTCTGGCTTTGTTTTACATTTTTACAATTATATGGGCTTTTAACATTGGTTTACAATTGCAATATATGTAGCCACTCTCTACATGTAAGCATGTGTGTGTATCCATTAGTGTTTTATTTTGGTTCAATAAAATACAATTTACATATTTTTGATTTGTCAATATTTTCTTTTCAAAGCTTTGTTTGGTAATTGATATGCTTCTTTAACAATATTCTCGCTTATTTATTTTCCTTCTTTTTCTTAATGTCCTTTATTTGTGCTTGCCATTTGCAATTTTTGTTGTTGTATTGTAGAATTTCACTTTTTGTGCGTAAGATATTGCTAATTTGTCAGGAAAAAAACTTTGCAAATCAAATTTTTATTATATTTTTGTAAACGGTTTTTTTTCTATATATTTTCTTTTTATATGTAACAAATCTTCGAATTGCATAAATGTACAAATAGCACTATTTTCAATCAAATACAATTTACATAGCTTTCATTTATTAATATTTTCTTATAAACGACTAAAGGGGGACTTCCATATAACTTTCCTATTTTATATATTGTTAAACAATTAAATTTTATGTATTTCGCACAATTTACTATAACTTTATTTTTATCGTAAGAAATAAGATTATTGGCGAGTGAAACAACCCACAACGTCTTGTGGGCAGCACGGCGCAATCGCTGTCTTTCTGAGATACTGTTAATGGGGTCTGCGTAACCATAAAGCACCGAGCTGAGAAGTACAGAGCTAGATTAAGAACAACGACTTTAAGACAGATGAGATGAACGAAGGCTCAAAGGTTTCTTCTGACGTAATTCTTAGCGGTAATTCTGAGATTATTGTCAGATATGTGAGAGGTTTTAGTGAGTGCAAGCCCTACATTGACTTAGACTTCCAACGCTTTCCCCCTTTCTAAAAAAAAACCACATACACACACCTTCTCGACCAACTTCTAACACTAACGTACGTAACATTCTCCGCCTTCCGCAAAAAAGCACTATATTCATAACGTACTATGAACGCCATCTACGAATAGCAAAGAATGCGCACAGGTTGCTCTTTCGTTTGTCCTTAAAATAGCATCACATAACCTTCTCACCTACAAACAATTGCGAACGATTTTAATTAAATAGATCGTGCATATCTGCCTGTTCAAGCTCATTGCAAAAAATTGGATGCTTTTATTAAAAAGGTTCACCTGAACTCTAGGATTGCTTCCTAACGTAAGTGAGATACCAGGTGATACCAGGTGAGATAAAATATGAAAGACATAATTGAACTTCAGAAACATCTTCTTTTATCCATTATCTTAGCAGTGCTAATTTCATTTCTGATTTTCACCTTTTTGTGATGTTTATTTTTTCACTTTCCTTTATTTTTGGTTTAATTCATTAAAATTATTAAGATAAAAAAGTGGAATAAAACTACAATAAACATATTTTTTGTAACGAGACAGTTGAAAATTTTGAGAGCTTACTGGAACATTATTGCACGCGGGTTGCGAGACTGTCAGGTTTGAAACCAAGCTGATTTGTTAAACGAGGAAATAAGTGATCACCGTGCTACGGGCTGTAATTTCTGCTAGCAGATTTTGACCGAAAGGGAATTATTCCATAGTCATCTGTGTGACGAATTCGCAGACATTGTGAAATAGTAATTAAAGAAAACGAGCCTACTATCTCCGGTATGAACAACAGCCCGTCGACAAAAAACGCCATTAAACGTGGGAGATTTTACTAACTAAAGCAAAAGCTCCTGCTATTGAGGTATTGAGGTATATTGCCCCCATGCCAAACAAAACACAAAACCTACTTGAAAACCAATAAGCACCAGGAGAACGCTACTGTGCTTCTAAACAAAAATGTATTCAACACATTTCCAACGATGTCGAAAAATGTATTCCAATACAGAGGATTTACAGGATAAGATATCAATCGAGAAATTTTTAGGGCATATCCCTACGTACATAAGCAAGTTCAAACCAAAAAGGATGAATTTAGCTGTAAAATTCAATTTGAGGCTCTTCGGTGGCTGTGCTAAGGGCGTAGAGTCAGAAATCGTGCTAACAATGGCGCATTTTTCAAAAAAGTTCGTTGCTGCAAGAGAAAGCAGTTAAAAATAAGATTAACGCACTTTTTATGGAGATTATAAAAGCAGCTGAATTGTGCCAGGAACGAGATAGCCGTCGGACGATAGCAGAAATCAAATTTTGTGGATTAACCATCTGTAATATCGCATGTACGTTTTCCAGTTAGTATAAGGTTAAGGTTAAAACTGCTTATGTCTACTGTTTTAAATAGTGCGTTTTAGCGGCTACTGCTTGTAAGTTTGATAAACCGAATGGAGATTTAAAATTCCCAGTAACCAACTGCGACATCAATCGGCTTGAGCAGAACAATAGGTACATCAGCGTACACATTTATGAATTGATAAATTACTATGGTACATGAAAAGTGGTCTGTACAGCGAAGGCAACAAAACCGCCAACGCATTTGCACATCAATTTGCTGGCAGTATTTAACAAAACTGCAAATCAATACTATTATTGTTTTATTACTAGTATTTGGTAAAAGCATAATATAAACGAAACCATACTGCATTTTATACTACGACTGGAACCATAAGTAGGAATACACCAACGTCAAAAGTGCAGTTCCAGCAGCGGGAACAACAACCAAGTGTAAAAATATGAGGAAGAAATTATCATCGCTAATTATCGTCTGTACTTCTTGCATCTTGTACTATTGCTTCGACTTACCTGTTCGTTCAACTGCTGCTGAAGAACTAAAAGAAAGATTGCTGCTTGCGCGCTGCTTTTATAACTGTTGGCTGCCGCACCCATGCGTTGATATTTAGAGCTTTCCCCACGAGGTGTGTTTATTTAAGAGACTAACGTACTGAAAGCTATGTTCGTAATTATATGTAAAGGTATAAATCGAAGTCATACAGCGTTGCATTATAATTTCGCGTCAAAATAACAGTCCTAAAATTTTTAATACAAGAACTCAAAGTTTAGTAAGCTTAACCAAAGTTAGTTGATTTTCATTTACATTTACATAGTAAATCTTTGAGTGTTCGGGGCGGTTAATGAAGTCTGCCTCTTTATAAGATTTAATCTATAAGAAGAATTATTAAATCCATTTAAAAAATCTGCTCCTGGACAAAGAATTAAAGTAATCTAAATGAATATAAATTCATAGTAGAATCTGATGATAATAAATCAAAATTAATCTTAACAAGTTTGACACATCATATATTTCTCCGAAAACATACACAATATCATTCCTAATAACAAAACAGTATTAAGATTGATGAAGCGAATGCGGATCGAATGATAACAAAGTCTACGGGTTTAAAAGCCAGAGCACACGCATACATCGTTAATGGTAATAATAATATAAAAAAAATAAATCAAAAAAGTAAAAGAATTGAAAAAGTGCACAACTGAAAAAATCAAATGCAGTGATTATAAACACTACATTATAAATAGAAAATCTTTTTTTGGTGAGCGGAGGGTCATAGGAAGCAGATTTCATTGATTGTACACAGAGATTTGCAAAAAAATAACTTTAGATTATTTAAATGGTGACCAACGTGTTTTAGATGATAAGATTTCCACACTAACGTGGAAAATTATAAAATAATTAATCAAAATATATAAATAATAATTTTTAAATAGTATGTATATAAGAATAAACGTAAAAAAAATTAATACGCAATGAAAAGTTTCTTTTCATTAACAACAACCACAGGAATAATAATAATAATTAGAATAATAGCAAACACGTTGGTTTGATCTTATACATCTTTTTCGAAGTAACTGCGTTTTCTTAACCAATAAATTGTGAACTTGCTAAAACCTCAGTCACTTCATAAAAACTTTGCTTGCCTTCTTCTTCAATATCTTTTTCACTAAAAAGGCATTCTTATCGTAAACTCTTCGCATTCCGTATTCATCCTTTGAATCTTTCTCATATAGGAGGCTTTCACATGGATGTGTGTGCGATAATGGCTAATTCGGTAATCAAATCTTAAAAATTTTTAATAAAAAATTCCTTCCCCTTATCAACATGAATATTCTCTGGACAGATATTTCTTCTTTCCAATACCTATCTCATGACCTCAACTATCACAGGTGAACTTTTAGATTTTACTGGTTGTGCGAAAGCGTACTTAGAAAATACACCAACTTCAACCAAAAGATATATGTAACCTTTGCTTAGTTGTTGAAATAAAATTAACTCGCGAATCAATCGCCTTCGGAGAAAATTTTTGTGCTTGGTATGTGATTCTCATTAACTATTTGAAATTTGCTCATTTTTAGACATTTATTTTTTCAAGGTTCTCAAATATAGCTCATAAAACTTAATATCTTTCCTAATCTTGTTTGACGTCTTTCAAGAAAATTCAAAACAAAATCTTAATAAATCAATCTCGATATCAGAGTGGATAGACATGGAGATCAGCCAGCTGAACAGCAGTCTTCTTTATTTCTACGCACTGTGGTAAAAGGTGATTATAATAAAAGTTATAAAATCAAATTGATCCAATTTTATTTTTATTATTCCTTGTAAGTTCTTTGTGTAAAATCACATTTATTATCTAGTACCCGCAAAACTGGGTTAAACTTTCTTGAAAGTGAAAAACCACAATTAAATTTAGTTTTTAAATTCATGAAATGTTCCATACCCATTGTATAATCCCTTTATTGAGACGATGCAAGTAGGGAGGAAGGAGGCATCAGATTTTGGAATATTAAGCCAAAGATTGTATAAAATCAGTTTAGTGTGCAGCAGCGACTCATCAAGCTACGCCTAGCGTAACTAAAACTACGTTCGGTTTTGTTGATTTCTAGTATTGTCATGGAAATCAGAAATAAATATCTATTAAAAGTTAAGTACATATGCGTTCAAATTCGGTTGTAGTTAACTAGTTTTTATTTAGACCTCCATTCGGTAAGAAGAAGTTAATCGGGAAGATTAAACATCAATATCATGTTTGTGTTAAATTTATTCATGTTTTAAAATGGTGGGATGGTGCAATAGACTATTTCTGTTTAGCTGACTCTCACCCTTGAATCACTATGGCAATGCTTTAGTAGTTGAAAGAGAAAAACTAGAATTTCTTAAAAAATATTTAACATCCGAGGTGATATTCGTGGACATTCAAACATCTTTGAGAATATTACCCAATTATTTTACTAATTTCCCATATTATCGAAATGACGCAAAATTGAAAAAAACTCAGACGCCATTAAAGTTACTACTTCAAATTAAACGAAAATTTATAAAATGATGTATTCTACGAAATACTAGTTTACTTTGTATTTTATAGTTAATAAACCAACATATTTTATCAATTTTACCATAAATTTGCTATGCTTATTGAGGACCATCAGGATCAGGCAAAACAACGTTTTTGAAAAATCTTATTTATAGCAAGAATTTCTTGATAAGTGCGAAAATTGACTGAATAATTTGGTGTTAAGGTGAAGAAATTGAGAAACCTACTATGGGTAATATGGCGCATATTGAATATAACATTGGAAGGGAAGAGAACTTGAAAATATTTTCAATAAACCAAGTCTCATTAGAGTTAATGTATTAATGACGAACGCTATCAAGAAAAGAGTTTGGGAACTTTTCACTAAGGAATCGCATCATAGAAATTTTTCTGTCACTATAGTTGCTTATGCTTGCACGCACTTGTATACTCAAGCAACCAAAGTCCAGGATAGTGTAAAGGAGTATAGCTTTCTTTAGCATAGTTTAGCTTCGTTTTAAAAACACTAAACAAAAATTGTTCCAAAATTACCAAATTATCTTACTTTAACTGACGAATAGCTAAACCAATTCAGTCAGAGTCTTAAAAGATAAGTATTTAAGAAACTTGAACTAAGGCGAAAGCGTTGTTAAAGATATTCTAGGTAATGAAAATCATATTGACTTTCATGATTTTGCGTGGCTTGTAGAAGTCATATTTTAAGAAATCTTGTTATTTACGAGTTGAACGAGTTGAGAAGAGATATGTTCTTTAATTTGGTGTATCAATGGTTGATATATTTATACATATATATCAAAATCGCAACAATAGCTGTCTTTATTCCAATGTTAACAGATGTGCAAGAACGCATACAGGCTTTTATTTGTTCGAGTTACAAAAGTGTGCAGTCAACGTTTGACAAGGTATAGTAAGTTTTTTTTGGGTTTCATAACCAGTTTCTTCAATATATATATATATATATATATATATATGTATATACAAATAAAATACATATATACAATATATGCATGTATATGTATATACAAATACACTACATATATACAATATATATACATATATATTACGCTTATATGCAAATATAAATACGTATTTTAGATAGATAGATACGTGCATACAAACATGTAAATATAAATGCACTCATAATTACATGTGCACATTTGAAAGCATTCTTAAACCGAAAAACTTTCTGTAGGTGGTACACTTTGCTTAATGTTTTCTTTAATGTATCATATGTTACAGAAATGTACACAATAGTCAAATGCCGAACATACAAAGGACATTCTTCAATCCTCATTTATCTTCACCTATTCTTATAAATTTATATATATATATATATATATATATATATTGATCCGGAAATGCCAAATCCAGTTCATTCTAACTAATTGATTTTCCCAGAAAGGAAATTGCATAGAGAGGGAAAACCCAAGTTCACATTCGCGGCGCGTCATGCAACTGCCGCCCGCGGAAAACGATTAGCGGAACAGCAAGTTAACGGATTAAAAATGTAGCCATGAACTTAAGTAAATGTAATATGCTTGTAAAAATGTATATAAATAAACTATTTGCGGAAGGCAGAATCAGTCAGACAAAAAGAGAATATTAGAGTTGAGAGTATTGCCAAAGCAAATAATCCTACTCTTAAAAAAATAGATTGTAAATAAAGAAACTTGAAATGAAAACGTGCACGCGTATTTCTCTTAAAGAGGATATCCATGATCTAGTGATACGAACCGTATCCGAGAAAAGCGCAATTTCACAACAATATATATGTATATCTATATATTTATATATGTTATCTTAATTTTTTCATCTTTAATGTTATATTATGTGTTCAGAATGGGAAAACACTGTGAAGAAAAGTTCATGCAATGGAAATTAATCCGTCTATATCTCAAACTCTCGCATATGCACACACATATAATTGCTATAACACACGTGTAAAAAACGAAGAACTTAATTCTTAAATCATACGAAGAGAATTGATTTTTAAAATATTAATTTTTATAGACTTTTATGATGACCGTTCATTCTTTTGGAAAAGAAGACTTAGACCTATATGAACTGAAAGTAGCACCTCAACGATACAGCATACTTTTCACTTATAAACAAAATTCGAGGTCAAGCGACTCATCCTTGCATTTAGCGTATTATATTTACGAAATTTTTTGTCGGCGTTGTCAGTAAACTTGGTGCTTGATTAGCTCAAAAAAGTACAAACGTTGAGTTATGTCGATTTACTATTCTTCCAGTTTTCTGAATTTCGTCTTTTCCATCGAAGATAAAATCTACTCAGTCACCACGTAATGGCGACGACAAAATAATATATGATGAAAAATTCTGTAGCATAGTATTCTGATATTACTCATAATATTCTGAAGAATTTCGGTTCTCCAAATAAATAAATCAAATAAAAAACAAAAGCAAGAAATTTAATTCGGTCGAAATATTCTAAGATATTTAAAATTTAGTCGTTATAGTCGTTAAGTCGACTACAACGGCAGACGGACACAAAAGCAGATATTCTACGTGCGAAGCTTTTTTTGCCACCGATGAAGGACATAGACCTATTATGTAGTCCCAGTTGTGTATATATATTTGTTACACATATTTTGCAATTTGCAGGTAATTATTTTGAGAATTTGAATTTATAAGAAAGAAAAAAAAGGTAACTCCTACGGGCTCGATAGTTGTGAGTAATCTTAATTAATTGATTTAATACGGTGTGAAAATAATTGTGTTGAATGTATGTGTCACAAAGTTGCTTCACACCGGATTTACGGCATCCTTCAATTTTCCTTGCATCTGTGATAACGATGACAATGATTGTTTCGAATGTTAATGCCGCTAATGAATTCAGTTACAAAACTATGAAAGACGGTCATGTTAAAATACTAATGAAATCTATCGATTCGTCCGGCGAGTTGGTAAACTACTTGTGTGACAAAAAGTTAAAACTCACGCCTACCTAATTAAACAAAAGATTAATGAAAGTCGGTATTGAAAAGCTAAGACTCAAAGCTCGGAATGTTTCTTAGATTCACTAAAGACCCACTGCCATATAGGTCTGGGACCTGGTGCAGGTAATAATGAAATTTACAAATTGGAATACTTCAATCATGCT